ACACAATCACACACAACAGGGAACGGGGTGGGGGCGGTAGAAGAATGTGACGCCAGATAAGATAAGCTGTACCCTTTGGAAGCGGGTGTTGTAATATAGCATATAGTGTAAGCACCCAGCACCTTCTTACGCCTCAGAAAGCGCGCTCGCTCACACTCACACAAACACACACACACACTCTCTCTCTCTCTCTCACTCCCTGTCTTCCCTTCCCTCCCTCCCTCCTTTCCTGGTTCTCTCGTTCTCTTTATCTGCCCCCTCCCTTTCTCTCTCTTTATCTCTTTCTCTTTATCAATGTCTCTCTCTCCCTCTTTCTGATACACTCGCTCTCTCCCACTCCCTTTCTCTATCTATCCCCCCCCCGCTCTCTCTCACTTTATCACTATTTCTCCCCCCTCTCATTTTCTCTCTCTCTCTCTCTCTCTCTGTATGTGTGTGTGACTCTCTCTCTTTATTTCTATCTTTCTGTGTTTTCTTTCTTCTCTTTCTCCCCTCTCTCTCTTTTTGCAACTCTCTTTCTCACGTTCCTTCCCTCCTTCCCTCACTCTATCTTTCTCTCTACCATCTGTCTCACTCACTCACTCTCTCACTACGTCTCTCTGTCTCTGCCGCCCCCCTTCTTTCTTTCTCTCTATCTCCCCCCCCTCTTTTTCTCTCTTTTCTCTCTTCTTGTTTGTCTCCTTAGCTTTTATAGCATTAATTTAGGTGATAACACATAGGTATATACATACATATATACATATATCTATATATATATATATATATATATATATATATATATATATATATATATATATATATATATATATATATATATACCTGTTAGCTTCAGACTCGTCAGGCAGGGTAAAACACAACGTGCTGCAACTCTTTATTCAATTTGTTCCAAACTGTAAAAATTTCCATAATATAGTTCACAGAAAGGTACAGCTGCAGAATTATATTTCAGTATACATGCTGGAACCCACTTTCATACATCTGGCAACCAGTACGGTGTAAACATCGAGTAAATAGCATTTCTACGAATGGGGCGAAAACCCTTGGTTGTTTGTAAGACTGAGCGCAATTGGTCGAATACAAATAACCAATATGATGATATCTATTTTTAGAAACGAAGTACACCATTTCATATTGCCTTCTCTTCAAATAAGTGATTGCAAAACACGCAGTATTAGTAGTCGGTAGTCGTTGGCTTTGTAGTGGAAAACTTTTCAAATGTGACTTTGGAATTGTTTAACGAAATGACAACACCTATAGAGGTAAGGCGGCAATTCCCCCTTATTTAAACAAAACAATTAACAATGATATTTGCTTGATTTCTTGAACCTTAGAGAACGCCTCATACTTCAAACAACTATGTATGATAGCTAAATCAAACAGAAATCTGAATTTATCAACTACTTCTCGGAGCTACGCCATCTAGTAGCAGCTAAACGAACTAATGAAATGAGATTTTTTTTTCGCCGAAACCGGTGTTTCAATAAGTAGAAATCATGCTGCGTTATATCAAGTGATGGGCATAGATACACAGAATTGTCTAATACGAGAAATTTGGCTAAAACGATTCCGATACATTGATTCTTCGAAGACAGTTAAAGCGATACGAATACATGTATCGCCGATACAGGATCATCGATACTTTATTGTAAGAATGTGTTTTTCAAAATCATGCGTGGATATTTTGATGAGTTCTACACCACAGTAACAACTGCATTATTACAACCGGCAAGTTCGTAGGACTAAATGCGTTCATTAGGAGAACCAAAACGCCGTTCCTTTATGGCCATTCACTGGTAATAAAGGAGAGAAAGAAAGAGAATGAGAAGAAAGGGCTAGTCAGAGAGCGAGAGAATGAGTTAGATAACGAACAGGAGAGTGGAAGAGAGTGGGAGTGAGGGGAGGGAGTGAAAGGCAGAGAGGGAGGGAGGAAGAAAGGAAGAGAGGGAGAGAAAGAGAAGGGGGGGGAGATAGATAGAGGGAAAGGGAAGGTGGGGGAGAGGCAGCGATGGAGAGAGGGAGCGAGAGGGAGAGGGGTGGAGGGATGAAGAGAGAGAAAGAGAGAGAAGTATAGAAAAAGGGGAGGTAGAGACAGAGAGAGGTTGTGAGAGGGGATTGAGATAGAGAAAGAAAGAGAAGGGAGGGGGAGGCAGAGATAGAGAGATGTAGTGTGAGAGGGAGAGGGAGGAATAAAGAGAGAGAGAGAGAAAGAAGAAGGGGGCGGTAGAGACAGAGAAAGGTAGTGAGAGTAGAGAGAAAGAAAGAGTGAGGGAGGGAGGAAGAGAGAGAAGAGAGAGTCGTAGAGAGAGAGGGGGGGTGGGGAGTGATTGAGAGAGTGAGTGAAAGAAAGACGGATAGAGTGAGAAAGAGAGAGGGGCGGGATAGATAGCGAATAAAGAAAGAGGGGGTAGGGAGAGATAGAGGAAGTGAGTGAAGTGGTGAGTGGGAGAGAGCAAGAGAGAGAGAGTGAAAGGAAGAAAAAAAATGACTGATAGAGATAGAGAAATAAAGAGAGATCGTCACAGAGAGAAAGAGAAAGAGAGAGTGGTGGAAGGAGTGATTGAGAGAGTGAAAGCAAAAAAAAAATAAAGATAGAGAGAAGAAGAGGGAGAGAAAAATAGGGGGAAGAGAGAGAGAGAGAAAGAGGGGCTGCAGAGAGGTGGTGAGAGAGTGAGTGAGTGAAAGAAAGATAGAGTGAGGGAGGGAGGGAAGGAGAGAGAGACGGAGACAGAGAAACAGCGAGAAAAAGAGAGAAAGAGAGACAGAGAGAGAGAGAAGGAGAAATAGAAAGAGAGCCACACAGAGAGAAAGACAGACTGAAAGAAAGAAAGAGAGAGAGAGGAGGGGGGAAAGGGAGAGAGAGAGTGAGTGTGAGTCATACAAACACACGTACAGAGAGAGAGAGAGAAAGGGGGGGGGGGCAAGGAAGGAGAGGTAAGGGAAGAGACAGATAATGAGTGGGAGAGAGAGAGGGGGGTAGAGCGGGGGAGGGAGGAAAGAGAAATAAAAGAGAGGAGAGTCACAAATAGAGAAAGAGAGAGAGAGAGAGAAGCAAAAAGAAAGAGGAAGATAGGAATAAAGAGAGAGACAGGGGGAGGGGGGAGGGCGAGAGTTTCGTTCGTCAGGAAGGCACTTTATCTTGGGCTATCTCTTGATAATGGTTTGCGTTATCAAGATCCTGCAAGCCATGGCGTTTCTTTGCGCGACGCATCCACACTCGAACAGCAGAGCAAGTAAATACACGTTTGCTTATTTCAACTCAAGCAACTACAAGTTGGGTGGTTTGAAGGAGGGAAATAAATTTACTCTTAGGATTTCACGTATCTGGCATCTTATATGTTTTCATGCTGATTCAGAAATACTCTTTCCTTGTATGAACTGCCAAATTGGTAGAAAGATCACCCAGTTTGAGGATAATTGGTTGCGTTTTCACTCTTAAAGAAAAACAGTATTAGAAAAGGGCTAATATTGGGAGAACCCTATTAACCAGGACAATTCACTTTTAATAAAGCTTTTTCCAATCCCCATTATTTTCCATAACTAATCAGTCTTTCCACAATACTTCACATTCCTTCATCCTTCAGTTCATTTTTATAAACTATATATGCATAGGTATACAGATGTGTAAATAAATATATATACATACATATGTATAAATGTACAGGTGATTAGATTTAGAATGTACTACAGCAATATAGCATCTCAAGAGCCTTGAACCAGTTTTGCAAATTTCTTCTCGAGTGAGTGCTATTTCAATAAATTTTAAATATTCTCATTAGTAGGTCACGTGATATTTCTTCTTGTTAATTGGGTATCTATTGTTATGATCGACTGGATTTAGTCAGCGTTCAGGTGTATACAGCAGAATAAAAGCTGGTATATACATATCCATAAATAATATCCATC